AAAATTTCTCTACTTTCTTTGGTTTAGTTTATGGTATTAGATCAAACTGGTTCTTTCTTGTAGTGCCGGTGTGATGAAGACAGGTGTGGGTAATACAAGAAAGAAGTTTAGTTTACAGATGGTTGCATATCTAACTGGTCTTTTGTTGCTTCATGTTAGTTTAGGAGTTTGCATATTTTGCTTTTAGTTGGTGCGTATTTGTGATAGCAATTAAATTTAATAATGATTTCAGGATAAAGATTGGGAGGGTGAAGAATCAGATGAAGATGATGATAGTGATGATAATCTAGATGTTTCAGATGATGATGATACCTACTATGGAAGAAAACCTACGAGTCGGCAACGTGGCAAAGTGGGACGAACTGTAAAACCTACTAGAGAACGCAAATCATTTGGTGCGTCTGGTCGGCAAAGAAAGCCTAAGACATCTTTTGAAGAGTATGCGTCAACAGCAGAGGATTCTGAAAGTGAAAGTGATGATGATTTCAAAAGCATGAGAAAGAGAGGTGCAAATGCTCGCAAGAATAATGTTCGTTCTTCTGCGGCTGCTAGTTTTTCTGGCCAGAGCAGTGAGGTTCGCACATCTAGTAGGACAGTTAGGAAGAAGGTGTCATATGTTGAAAGTGAAGAAAGTGAAGAAGCAGATGAAGGGAAGAAGAAGAAGTCCCAAAAAGTACTGCCTAAAATACATGCTTTTCATTGATGCTTTTGTCTATGTTGAACATAATTGCAAGTGTTCTGGAATGTATCTTTGTGGTGATTTTCCATTATGTTGGGTTGTGTTATTCACGTGTAAGGAAGCTTGAAAAAATTGAATCATAGTGGTTATAGCAGGTGAGATATAGAGTGTATTCCTTTGCACTGTCTATGGTTTTTAAGACATAATACTTTATTCTTTCTGCTGAGATGACTTTTTATTTATTTCATTATGTTTGTTTTCCGTTATTGGGTGATATAAAGGGGTATAGTTTGATGTGTTTGTTACATGCTAGTAGGCTCTTTGTAAGTCTTTGATTTAGCTTAACTTATAGCCTCAGTATGCCTGAACTTTGTTCAAAGTGGCGGTATTGTTTTAACGTCATTATTTCTTTATCTTTTAAGGGTTTTGCTTGCTCCTGACCTGATGATTATGGAAATTGTATGAAAAATGGTTTAATTCTCAAGTAATGATAGTACAATTATTTTCTGGGCCATGTGGACATGACTTGAAGGTGTGTGGTTAACTAGTTATTGGCTTTAATTCCACGAATGTTCTCTTTTTCTTCAATTTCCCATTGTTTTCTACCAACTATTCTGAATTGTGATCCATTTCTTCAGGAAGAGCTTGAAGAGGAAGATGGTGACTCCATTGAAAAGGTGCTTTGGCATCAGCCAAAGGGCATGGCTGATGAGGCGCGGAGGAATAATAGATCAACAGAACCTGTTTTATGGAGTAATTTGTTTGATTCTGAACCTGATTGGAATGAGATGGAATTCTTAATAAAATGGAAAGGCCAGTCACATTTGCACTGTCAATGGAAGTCATTTGCTGAGCTGCAAAATGTATATTTCTCATCCTTATTGTTGATGCTATTTGCTTTATCTACCTCTGTTTTTATTTTCCCCCTTTTTTGAAGTCCTAAGTGATGATTCTACTCCTCTTTGAGTTAATTTTGCACATCTTTTATATTTGAGGTTTATTCTGTGTGTCTTTCTTGCTCAAGTGGCGTACCTGCTGTTTGTTGTTTGTGAGATTGCAGCTCAGTGGTTTTAAGAAGGTTTTAAATTATATGAAGAAAGTGACGGAGGACATCCGGTACAGGAACACAATCTCAAGAGAGGAGGTAAATAATTGTGTTTGGACAGAAGCATATAGCCTTACCCAATCCCCTTGGACATTCTGGTGTTGTTGAAATATTTTTTTGTTATGAGTAAAACTGCATTGTATTTTCCAAATAATTTACATGTAAGTAAACTTTTTAGTGTATATACTGTGAGAGAAGTAGTGGTAATATGTTATGTGCTTCTTAAAAAAAATTGTGTATCCCTTTACTTCTGCTTAACTGCTGCAGGTTACAATCATTTAGTTGATGTTCCTATGGTTTTGATCTTTTCTTAAGTGTTTATATATATGTATATTTAATTCCTATAGCGCACTGTTAGGGGAACTAATTCCATGTTTTATGTTTGTACTTCAATTTTCTCCTGAATGATTATCATTCAAAGCTTACTTTCGACTTGTATCTTGACATTATCCAAGCGTTGGGCATGTTTCAGTTTTTAATCATTTAATGGGGCTGTTTGCAGATTGAGGTCAATGATGTGAGTAAGGAGATGGATTTAGATATTATCAAGCAAAATAGCCAGGTTTGTTTTTCTGCGTTTTATGACTTTGATCTTCCACTTTTCTTTGTTTTATGATGCACTGCATCTAATTTAGTCATATTTTGTTTAGGTGGAAAGAATCATTGCGGATAGAATCAGCAAAGATAATTCTGGCAATGTTATTATAGAATATTTGGTCAAGTGGCAAGGGCTGTCTTATGCTGAAGTGACATGGTAGGGTAAAGCTAATTATAGATTAACTTGTGCCTTTATTTTTCTGTTCTTATCTAAGGCCTTTTAATTAGAAAGGAACAGTTGATCTTATTGCCTCCTTGTTTTAGGTCCTTACCTGTGGGTATAATGTTTTCTATTTTATGCTGCAGCCGTTAATATTAGTTGATCTTTGTGCATTGGTACCTTCGAGTGTGGAATACTAATGTTTTTTTTCTTGGTTGGCTTTTCTACCAGGGAGAAAGACACAGATATTGCTTTTGCTCAGCATGCTATTGATGAGTACAAGGTAACTTCATTTTATTTTAATAATTTATTGGGGAAAATTAATTATTTAGTCCTCATAGTTTTAACTTGCTTACAGCTCAGTCTCTGAAGTTTAACTTATTCAACTCGGCCCCTCAAGTTTTAGCTGTTTAATCTATTGGTCCATGTACTTAAATGTCTAGTTTTTTACGGATTGAGTTGTAACCGAATCATGAAGTACAGGGATCAGCAGATTAAATAGCCAAATTTAGATGGCATGGCCTAAATAAGATTAGGGCTTTCTTTGACTTAGGAAGCTTATGAACAAGTGGCATGAAGTAGGTACTCTACGACAAGCATGTGGACTCAGCAATTTAGAGGTTTATAAGTATTATGTGGGTAGTATTTGTCCAAATAAATAGGAAGAGTATTTCTTACACACAACACTATTAATAACTTTTGAATAGTACTACAAAAATGCCATTTATATTCTATATCTCATAACTTTTAGAAGTATCTCCTGTGTCATTTACAATAGAATGAGTTTTACGTGTTCTGTTACGTAATTGAATGATCTCATTTATGCAACTGTTAGGGAATAACAGAAAATACAGATAAAAAATGAGGTCTGAGAAAATTCTATGCATTTTATATTTAAGTAATTTACTGAATCTTTCTGCGGTCATTGTCCTCTAATTTGAGTGTGTCATGAGCTCCAATTTTAAAAATTGGCGTCAATTCAGCTGATAGATGAGAATGTGCGATCATCATATTCTTGGGCTAGCATGTGTTAAACCAAGACTTGGTCCTTCCCCAAGTGAATTTTAGGTCTGAATCCCTTGCATGGGAATGGTGTTTTAGGGAGAGTAAGTTCTGAGGTTTTGGCCCTGCTGGTGCACTTAGGAGAATAAAATCTCTTAGGTGTTGGCCCTACTTTTAGAGTATTCTAAACTATTGAAGTTGCAAAAGTTGCCATGATAGTGTCCTCCCTTCCGTGCATTTGACACATACAAGCACACCCACTCATTTGATTGGGAGCCTGGATGTTGCAAGAGACAGGGCAATTGATTGTCTAACTTCTGCACCGTGGTTGATTTGCTGGGATCAATGCTTATATTTTCTTCCTTCCGATCAATAGTTATTTTGTCCATCTTCTACCTCACGAGCATGTCTCAGAAGGAGTCGTATAGGCTGTTGGATTTATCTTATAGTTTCAGTCCAACTTGTATTTCGGGACCTGTATTTTTACTTAACAGTGCTGTCTATTGTCAGCAAGCTAATCCGTATGGGGAAAATCTGTTAATGTTCTTAAATTACTTATCCAATAGCAGTAAGCATTTTGTTCTGTTACCTCTTGAGCAGGCTCGTGAGGCTGCAATGTCAGTTCAAGGAAAGAGTGTAGATCTACAACGCAAGAAAAGTAAAGGTTTGTGTCTATTTAGTGTTTTTCAAACTGGTATGAGGCTGTGTATTTTGTGAGACTGATGTGAAATGCATATTTCTGTGCCTTATTTCAATGAAACTATGTATATTTGCAATTGTGCCTTGGTTGCACTGTATCCTTCATTTGGCTTTTGGTGCATTATTACTTTGGCAAGTCTTGGCATTTCTGATATATGGGGAAGTATCCTATTCAATAGACACCCTTCTATAAACGGGTGTCTATTGAATGATATATTTCTATTTTAGCCCATTCTCTCCCTTCTATATGTATCATTTTCCCTTTATGTTCTTGGCTAATTTACATAACGGATTTTTAAATTCTTTTCATATTATTATGCTAATAGTGCTATCTAACAGGGTTGCCTTCTCTCATGCTTGGCCCGGTTTTGAAGCTTAGGCCTTAAAACCGTGTGTGTTGCAGATTGGTGTAACCATGTTCATATGTAGAGACTTCTGGGTCTAGATTTAATTGAATGAATCTATTGGAAATAATTCTCTGATACTTCAATGGTTTTTGCCCACTCACTGTTTCACACATAAAAGAGATTTTTAAGTCTGCAATTTTTTGTGCGTCAGAATTTCAATACTCTTACTTCAAAGCTTTTATCATGACATGAAATTATGAAGTAGTTGGAACCATATTGATTGAATACTTTGTGTTAATATTTGTTTTTTGGTGTAAGTTTAAGGTGCAGTGGTAGTATTTTCTCTGGGAACTTATCTGTCTTTTCACATATTGTTAATGTTTTCCTACAAAATTTAATTGCCACTATGATTGAAAACAAATCAAGTTATCAGATTATTAGTCTAAAAGTTGAATTATTGAACTGATATATCCATTCTAAATTTAAAAGCATTTATTGACAAACTTATGTTTAATTTACTCAACAGCAAGTATTTGAAAGTTGATAAATGAAATCTTCTTTATGATGAGCATTTCACTCTGGTGCCTTCCTTTTATTTTTATTCTGCTTTCTTCTATATTTTTCAGATACATGTTGGCACTATGGATAATTTTCCAGTTTCTTGTTCTGAATATGTGATATTTTTCATATGCAAAGAATGCTATTTTAATATGTGCTTTTATGATTATTTAGCAAGTTTGAGGAAGCTTGATGAACAGCCTGAGTGGTTGAAGGGGGGAAAGCTTCGTGATTATCAACTTGAGGGCTTGAATTTTCTTGTTAACAGGTATGTATACATGTCTGAATACATCATGCTTTTCACTGACAGATGCTCTAATTTTCCCTATTGTATGACAGTTGGAGAAATGACACAAATGTTATTTTAGCTGATGAAATGGGTCTTGGTAAAACTGTTCAGTCAGTATCGATGCTTGGTTTTCTTCAGGTATAATACAAGTTTTCTGTTTGCCTTTCTGATGTTTTGCTATTTTGAAGATAATTATATCATTTCCCTGTTGCAGAATGCCCAGCAAATCCATGGCCCCTTTCTTGTAGTTGTCCCTTTGTCTACTTTGTCAAACTGGGCCAAAGAGTTCAGGAAGTGGCTTCCTGATATGAATATTATTGTATATGTTGGTAATCGAGCAGGGCGAGAGGTAAGAGCTATTTCTTGAATTCCTGGTCTACATGTGAAAGTTATTACACAGTGAGTAGGATATTTGATTATTAACGTGTTGCTGGAACCCTTTCCTCTCAGTTTAACTGCTGATCAATATAAATTTCATTTATTCTAAAATAAAGCCTAGAATGGGTGGAAAATTTAATCCCTTGCTGGTTTGAATGTTAACAATTATCCCACTGGCTTTGATATTCCCTTATTTCATATCTGTGGGGGCAGTGAGTCTGCTGATTTAGTTTTAAGGACATAGTGTCTCCTGGATCCTATACCTACTACATATACAAAAGTAGGTTAGTGAAGTTGGGATCTAGTCTAGTGTGGGATAAGTTATAGTCATATATGCTTGTTTGCCTTTTTGTTATTTTTTATATTATAATTTTCTTTTCAAATGTTCAAGAGGAAAATGGGCAATAATGTACATTTGGAAGAGGTTTTTACCCTTTATCAACGATTCTTTTCTTAGAGATTATTAGTTATCTTCAAATGTCAATGGGTGTTGTAACCCCGTTTCTTTTCATTTAAACACTTTATGTGTGCTTTAAGATATCGTTTACCATAGGTTTCTCAATCATGAAAAGATGGCTATGGTTCCACTCATTTTCTGTCTCATCGACCGCATTTTCTTGGTATGTGCTTAGTTGCTGTGTTGTCCATTGAAGTTAACCTTATTTGCCATGGTTGCATATGCTGTTTTGTTTATTTTAAACGCCACAAGCTTGGTTCATTGGAGCTATATATATTTTTAAGACAATTTTTGTTCGTTTAAATCCCTACTGTGCACTTGAGTTCATCAACTTTTAATAGTGTGGGACTGCTGCTTGCAATTCGTCACATATGTTGGGATATGCTGATATGGCAGCCATGTTTGAACCCATCAATCAAATTGTTATTTCAATTGTCCTTTAATTTAATCGCGGAGATATACCAAATTTTGTTGTTTTCTTTGGTCTTCAATGCCTATATTGTTTTGTGTTGTGTTTCTCCATTCAAATGTGATGTTGATCAGGAATGTTAAACTGTCAATTTGAGCACCACTTTGTAAAGCGGGGTTCTTTTGACAGAGAAAACTGTAGTGATTTATCTTATTTGAGTTGGCTGGCATAATATTTAGCTGCGATGAATGGGGGGTGGTTCTGTCGGCTGCCTTTGAGTTTGAAATCAGCTCTTCTAGACGTTGGTATTTGTGATTCAAATTAACATCGGAGCAATTTGTTCTGCTTGATTACTTTCGTGCAGATGGTTTAATGTTGTAATGTTATATATTTCATTTTTAGGGAATATTAAAGAAAGCTGCAAACACTTTGTGTTCAATTGTTTTTAATGTTAAATGTCATGTAATTTGCCCCCCCTTGATTGTCTGCTTTCCGGTGGCAGGTTTGTCAACTGTATGAATTTCATAATGATAAAAAGGTTGGCAGGCCTATAAAATTTAATGCCCTCTTGACTACATATGAAGTAGTTCTGAAGGATAAAGCTGTTCTCTCCAAGATTAAATGGAATTATTTGATGGTTGATGAGGCTCATAGGCTGAAAAATAGCGAGGCTCAGCTGTACACTACACTTTCAGTATGTAACGTTTCCTCTTAATTTCCACGTTGACAGTATTTCGTGATGCTCTCTCTATTTTTTTTTTGCCTTTTGGAATATTAACTTACTTTATTTTTCTGATTTCCTAGGAATTTAGCACCAAGAACAAATTGCTTATCACTGGCACCCCCCTACAGAACAGTGTTGAAGAGCTGTGGTAACTAAATAGCATTCTCATTTATTTTTGGCTTGTTAAAGGGAGAGTATCTTCTTTGTACAATAACAGATTTTATTATTTTTTTGGATAGATGGCAATAATTCTGAGCTCATAATGCAATCTGATTTTGCTTTCATCTTTATTAAGGTTCCATTGAATGCACATTTAACTAAATGCCTGATGCAATAATTAGCTGGCACATGTACTATAGATCCTTATGCATATATGATATTCATGTAGGAAAGATAGAAATCATATTCCTTCTTCTAAGATGCTTCTCTTGTTTCATTAGCCTCTTAGTTGCTTCTGAGTGCTAGCTCTATATTAATGTTGTCATGTGTTGAAACTACAGTTTACCAGTTTCCATGGTAGAAACAGAGCATGTCTCATGTCACGGTATAAGCAAGTACTCTATAGCGGAGCACATTTATTTGAGTACTTGACGTAGATCAATCTGTTCCATTGGTTGATCAGTTGATGGTTTTAATGTTGTGGTGAACACCACTCTGTTTATTTGTGGTTGTTTTTCTCTCAGTTTTAACTATCATACATATGTATGTATACACTCTAAGGAAATTATCAAGAAAGATATTAGCATCTTAATTTTGGTTCCCTCAGTTTTCTTCACTTCTCTATAACAGATTACTTTCTTTGTTTCCTAGGGCCTTGCTTCATTTCCTTGATCCTGATAAGTTCAAGAGCAAGGATGATTTTGTTCAAAACTATAAGAATCTGAGTTTGTTCAATGAGAATGAGGTATGGTTTGCCTTTATTATCTCCCCCCCCCCCCATTTTATCTGTTCCTTAATTGCCTTGTTCAAGAGTTTTTCTTTCGGGTAAATTGATGCCTATGCATTTTACATGTTAGCTTGCCAATCTTCATATGGAATTGAAGCCTCACATACTCCGAAGAGTCATAAAAGATGTAGAGAAATCGTTGCCCCCAAAAATTGAGCGTATACTCAGAGTTGAAATGTCTCCTCTTCAAAAACAGTGAGTACTATTTTTTTGTTTTAATTATATTGTTCGTAGCCACCCTGTGAGTTCGCTTTTTATGTTCCTGCTACCTTTGCATTTGTATAGGTATTACAAGTGGATTTTGGAACGTAACTTTCATGATTTGAACAAAGGAGTTCGTGGGAATCAGGTCATCTTACTATTGTTTTATAATCTTTTTATAATAATTTTGTTGAGTTATTTTATGTGGTGCCTGTGTTTTTTCTCCATGATGCTGATTTGGGAAGATGGTAGAAGTAATATTGCTTGTATGGGTTATCTTTCCAGTTGTTCTGTTTAAACAGACATTGTTTCAAATGTGGTATATAATGTTTTTTCCCTCTCCATTTCCTGGGATTATCAGTTTGTCAATGATTTTTTCCCTGTAACCATGTTGCTTCTGAATTTCGTTGCTCTTGACCATTTTACAAGCTCAGGTGTTCTCCTTTATCTGTCTTATTTCAGGTTTCTCTACTTAACATTGTGGTTGAATTAAAGAAGTGCTGCAACCATCCCTTCTTGTTTGAAAGTGCTGACCATGGTTACGGGGGGGACTCAGGAAGTAGTGATAGCAGTAAACTCGAGAGAATTGTCTTCAGCAGTGGGAAGCTTGTCATACTTGATAAGCTACTTGTTAGATTGCATGAGACTAAACATCGTGTTCTGATATTCTCTCAGGTTGGTTGTTGGAACTGGTTCACCAGGTGTAGTTCTTGATAAATGATCTTACTGAAACTTTTGCTGAACAATGTTGCATTATTCTACCTCTATTCCTAAATATAAGATCTACTTTGTAGTGCAAATTACACTACAAAGTGAATGTTATATTTAGGACCGGAGGTAGTATATATACAAATCTATAGGAATTGATCCAATTCAAATCTTTACTGTTGGGTATGTTTGTATTGAGGAAACTGGAGAAGGGAAGGGAGGAGGGTGTTTGATTTATATATTTCTCTTTATTTTAGATATAAATAAACATTCCATCCCTTCCCTTCTCCTCAATTTAAACATACAATTATGGTGATTTCTGACGTGTATAGTTGAATTAATTTTACTTGCGATAATTATGCTTGATATTCGGCAAAAAGATAACTATGCTTGGTAATGTTGTTCAAACTGCTTAGTAACTAGTCTACTGGCATGAATGGCTTGGCACAGTTTGTTAAGATGCTTAATTTATCACCAATCAGTACTTATGAAGTTTTTTGTCTTTGGATACTTGAGTGCCCGCTAGAAGTGTTCCTGTTTAGTTAAAAATTTAAAATTGTGATGCAGCCAATAGTTCTTAGGCTGTCATGGAAGCCTTAATGGATGGGTTGCTCTTCTTCCTGTTTTGGAAGAATTAGTTGCCTTAGCTTCTTCAGTGCCTATAGAAAAATTAAAGACAAAAATTTCTTGAAGAACTATGGGAAAACTGGTGCTTATTGATAATATATTTAAACAGTTTATTCCTAGTTGCCAATCAGTCTGAATACTTCCAGTTTCTGAAGTCTGAAAGCAAAGCTGTTTTGATGTCTTATTTATTTTGAAGGTTCATGAAATCTAGGAGGTCATATAAAAACATGGGAAAATCCCAAAAAAAAAAACCTCTTGAATTTCAAAATTCCAGATTAGTCTTATTTATTACACTTTAATGGCAATTGACTATTCTTGAAAAACAAATGACAACACATTTTTGTGGTAATTTCTGATTTGAGATTTTGAAATTCAAGAGGTATTTTTTTGGGATTTTCCCTAAAAAACATCTCAAGTATTACTGAGTGTTCTGCTTGCTGCGGTTGATGTGCTTTAGTCTTGGGGATATATTGATTGCTAATTCTGAATCAATATATCACATACTTATGTAGATGGTTAGGATGCTGGACATACTGGCCGAGTACATGTCCCTTAGAGGATTTCAATTCCAGAGGCTTGATGGAAGTACAAAGGCTGAGTTGCGACAGCAGGCAATGGATCATTTTAATGCACCTGGTAGTGATGATTTTTGCTTCCTTCTTTCAACTAGAGCAGGAGGTCTAGGTATCAATCTTGCCACAGCAGACACTGTCATAATATTTGATTCAGACTGGAATCCCCAGAATGACCTCCAGGTATTAGCATGTTTATTATTTCTATTATCATGTTTATTGTTGTTGGTATTTCAACAATGGGTTTAGGTTACCTACTTCTATCTTTTATTCTCTTTTAGGCCATGAGCAGAGCACATAGAATTGGGCAACAAGAAGTTGTCAACATATATAGATTTTTGACCAGCAAAAGTGTCGAGGAAGATATTTTAGAACGGGCTAAGAAAAAGATGGTATGAATCTTTTGCCTTTCCTTTTACTATATCATAATAAATTTACTTAATAGTATATCCATTCATTTTTCAGAAAAAACTTTACGTTGTGTTTATACGTGAATTTTGCATCTATATTTTTCTCTTGCACATGCAGAGCTATATAACTTATTTGTTTCATAATTTGCCTTGAGCCCGATAATTCTACACTCCTTTTCACGTGAACATGTTTTGTAGGTCCTTGACCACTTGGTCATTCAAAAATTAAATGCAGAGGGTAGACTGGAGAAGAAAGAAGCCAAGAAAGGAGGTCTTTTTGACAAAGTAAGGATACATGTCAAAATTGATTAATTGCTGGTTTGTAGACATGTTTCCATTGGATTATGTGATACCATTGTAGATGATATTACTGGGCTAATATCATCCCTGTTATTTTAGTACATAAAACCTATTGAATCATATTGGTTCCACTCTTTAGGTGTTTGCTTTTGATTTATTACCCTACCGTATCAAACTTGTGCTTCTTCCATGACAGAATGAGCTATCAGCAATTTTGAGATTTGGGGCAGAGGAGCTTTTTAAGGAAGAAAGAAATGATGAAGAGAGTAAAAAGCGACTTTTAAGTATGGATATAGATGAGATTCTTGAAAGAGCAGAGAAGGTTGAAGAGAAGGAAGCCGAGGGAGAGCAAGCGCATGAATTATTGAGTGCCTTTAAGGTACGATTCAGGGACCACATCCTATATCCAGTTCTTCCATGTGATTTTATCGTGTGATTATTCGTATTTTACAGAGCATAATTTGAGTTGGGACAGGGCATTACTTAGCTGCTATTCTTTTTCAACTTGCTTTTCTACAGGTTGCTAATTTCTGCAATGATGAAGATGATGGGAGTTTCTGGAGTCGTTGGATAAAACCTGATGCAGTAGCCCAAGCTGAAGTATTGTTCTCTTTTGATCTTCCCCTAGAAAATCTCCTAAATTTGTTTCTAAAATATTGCTTGTTTAGTTTTAGCATGTATATCTCTCTCTTCTGTTCGATTCAAGACGTGTAATTCTATTTTTTCTGTTTTTTCCCCTTGCTTTTTCTGTTTTCTTTTGTAGGAAGCTTTGGCTCCACGTGCTGCAAGGAGCATTAAAAGTTACGCAGAGGCCAATCAATCTGAAAGAAGTAGTAAACGTAAAAAGAAAGAACCTGAGCCTCCTGAGCGAGCTCAGAAACGCCGGAAAGCTGAGTATTCAGCTCCTGCAACGCCAATGATTGAGGGAGCATCAGCCCAAGTGAGATGTTGGTCCTATGGGAGTGTATCTAAAAGAGATGCACTACGATTTTCTCGTGCTGTAAGTTCCTATTATAACTGACAACCAGTTACGTCATTTCCTTAAATTTCTTATTTTTGGCAGCCTTAATGTTATGATGCCCTATCAGCATTTTCTTAATATGAAAATTTTGATAATCAATTTCTAAATCGGCTGCATGCTTGTTACCACTGAAAAAGTAGCCCCCTTATTATTGCTGCTGCATAAATGTAAGTTTTACAGAGAAATATGTTACAACGATAAAATTTATTGGGATCAGGGTGTAGGTGGGAAGAAGATAACCAAAGTATTGTATTTTATGTTTGATTCAACATGTTGGGAGTGTGGCCAAAATTTTGGACGGGCTAATTCTAGTTTTTTGTAGTTTATTAGTGAAACTGGATTGCAAATTATTGAACATAGTGGCATTATTGACGTGGGGTGTGTAGCTGTTTTCTTTGCTCAGGGTATACCTCCATGGCTTACGCTTTGTGGAGTAGTTTTCACCATTGAATAATTGTTTCCTTCGCAAACCTTGCACCAAATTTAAGTTGGTCACCTTAATGTGATTTAGCACGAGTTTTTTTCTTTTTTTTTTGGCCCAAATTAACACAAGCTCAAATCACATCCAATCATTCCGTACACACAACTATGAAGCAATAAATATTTTTCTGTCCTTTTCTGTGAGTACGTTACTCGTGCTGTTATTTGCTATTGTTCATACAAGTTTTCAGAAATATACTGCGGTTTGAGATTTTGAGTGGAGTGGTCCTAGGGGAATAGGACAATATAATTGAGCATAAATTGGGGGTTCTTGTTTTGGCTTAGAGTAGAAATCATGGTTTACCTTTTTGACATCTGAAAACTTCCCTCAGACATGTTTGGGCATCCCTGTGGGTTTAATCAAGTTGTGTTAATTTTTGGGATAGCTTTCTTAGAAACATTTCTTTGCGCCCCTCCCTCCCTCCCTCCCTCCCTGTCTATCTTGGAGAGATTTGTTCAGAATATGCTTTTATGCTGATTGTATATTCCTTTATTTTGTTATTTTCATCATTTTCCTTATAAACTATTGTTGATACTAATCACAAAAAGAAAATCAGGTTATGAAATTTGGGAATGAGAGCCAAATCCACTTAATAGCTGCTGAGGTTGGTGGGGCATTTGCGGCTGCTCCGCCTGAAGCTCAGATTGAACTTTTCAATTCTCTAATTGATGGCTGTAAAGAAGCAGCAGAACAAGGAAGTATAGACCCAAAGGTTTGTATAGCACTAAATTTCTTTACAAGCATTTGTGGAATTGCTTAATGTATTCTAATCATTTTCATGTGTGGCATGTATAACTGCATACAGGGGCCTCTTTTGGACTTTTTTGGTGTCCCAGTGAAGGCAAATGATCTGCTTAACCGTGTTCAAGAACTCCAACTCTTGGCAAAGCGCATTAGTAGATATGAAGATCCCATTGCACAGTTTCGTGTTTTAACATATCTTAAACCTTCAAACTGGTCTAAAGGTTGTGGGTGGAATCAAAGTAGGTGTTACCCATTATGGTTTGTATTTATGCATTTTCATGAGTTTGTTGATTTCTGGTCTTGCTGATAATAGTTTACTTGTTGACAGTTGATGATGCAAGATTGCTTCTTGGAATTCATTATCATGGATTTGGTAATTGGGAAAAGATACGATTAGATGAAAGGCTTGGCCTCATGAAGAAGATTGCACCGGTTGAACTTCATCACCATGAAACTTTCTTGCCACGAGCTCCTAATTTGAGAGATCGTGCTAATGCCCTTTTGGAACAAGTATGTAATTGTGTTAATCTAATCTACTCTCTTGTTTCAATGCTTTTATATGCTTCCTGGTCTTGTGGAATTGAAATTACTTTTTGACTTCTTTTTCTACTTAACCATGCATGTATGGTGATGATATGCATGCTAACTACAGGAGCTTTGCTAGTCCATGTTTAGGTTACTCTTAGCAGCATCATAGTGTGATTTTTCTTTTCTCCTTTTTAATCCCTGTGGCACACTGATGTGAGGATAAAAGCTGGTGTTCTCAAGCAATATTATTTATGTGCTGCAATGGATTTGCTTTTATTTTGGCATGTATTATTTATCTCCCTGCAAAGTTTCTCTGCATGACAGGGGAATCATACCTGAAGACTGCTATAATATACAAGGTTTTAATAGTTCTTTTACCTAATGGAAAATAGAAGTTGCCTTTTTTGTTTAGATGTGGTTTCTTTTGAACCCTGTAAAAGAAGAAACTAATGGGGTCAATTTAGGTGTAGCGGGTTTGGAGTATCTTGAAACAATTATCACACTAGTGTTATTTCTCACAGGTGCCTTCAAAGATATTATCTTACCTCTGGTTCAGGATCTGCAGTACGGTCCTAAATCAGGGGTCATACTACTTTTGTCTATAGTTGGTTAATGATTTTTGTTCATTGCACTGCAACTGTATTGCTTGACCTGTCATGGTGTCTTTATTTATTTATTTATTTTGGGCCATTAATGGCATGAGCTAATTCCTGGACTATAATTCATCTAGGAACTCGTTGTTCTTGGTGGTAAAAATGCCAATAGTAAAGGGGGCCGCAAGGCTTCCAAGAAGGAGAGGGAAAATCTTATGAGCATTTCAGTGGCACGTGGGCCAGAGAAGAGAAAATTAAGTTCTTCTAAAGTTAACGCCCAAATGAGAAAGGATAGGTCCCTGAGGTCCCAGAGGATTGAACCAATAGTAAAAGAAGAGGGTGAAATGTCTGACAATGATGAGGTGTATGAGCAGTTCAAGGAAGTAAAATGGATGGAATGGTGTCAGGATGTGATGATTGATGAAATGAAAACCTTGAAACGTCTGCACAGGTTGCAGACAACCAGTGCCAACCTCCCAAAGGAAAAGGTACGCTTAAAAGTGACCTCTTAAGGAACCCCACCACCCCACCCAAAAAAAAAAAATGATGACACTTTCACTATTCACATATGTTTGACCTGGTTTTTTGCAGGTGCTTTCCAAAATCCGCAATTACTTGCAGCTTCTTGGGCTGAGAATAGATCAAATTGTGTTAGAACATGAACAGGAGCCTTATAAGCAAGATAGTAAGTTCTGCTTCCAGTTCTGAACGTTAATGCTCTTCGCTTCTTAGTTATTTTAGCCAATTTGTTAATGTCTTGAATCTTGATCCCATCTTTCTTTTAAACCATGTGGATTTTGTTTATCTTCTTGGATGACTGGCGTTGTCTGACTTTGTTCCCTTGTTACTTGCAGGGATGACAACGCGACTGTGGAACTATGTCTCCACCTTCTCCCATCTTTCAGGGGAGAGGCTGTATCAGATCTATTCCAAACTTAAACAGGAGCAACAAGAGGAGGCTGGGGTTGGCCCTTCTCACATCAATGGGTCAGTATCTGGTCCATTTGGGAGAAATCACCCTAATTCATTCCCTCGTCATATGGAGAGACAAAGAGGATACAAAAATGTGACTTCCTATCAAATGCCAGAACCAGTTCACAATACAGGAAAATCTGAGGCTTGGAAACGAAGGAGGAGAGGAGAAGGCGACAGTCATTTTCAAGGTCAGCCACCATCTCAGAGAGCTATGGGTAATGGAATCCAAATATCTGACCCTAACTCACTGGGGATTCTTGGGGCTGGACCCTCTGATAGACGTTTTGTTAGTGAGAAACCATATAGGACACGACCTGGTGGGGTTCCTCCAAGACAGGGTTTCTCCTCAGGCATAAAATAGTCACTTATCTGTGGATGAGAATGGCTGATTCTAGAGTTTTGGCAGTCGGCTATGGGCCGTGCCTCTGCATGTACATGGCTTCAGCTACTGTATATTCTCTGGAGTATTTTTTTTGGCAACCCATGGGAATAATGAGATCTTGCAGATCCTTTTTTGGCCCCCTCTGGCTGACTTGACGTATCCCGAAACATGGGATTTGCAGCCTTGAACGAGTTAGTCGAAGCCGACGATGATCTGGGCTGTGCAAGATGAAAGGAGTCTTGCCCCCTTTTTTCCTCATTGTCAGCCTTTTGATTTTCACCATCCTCCCTGAAAGTTGAGCTCAGCAAAGTGTTTACGTATATAGCGAAAAATCTTGAAAGGATTTTTTTTTCTTTTTTAATCTTGACATTCGATACAGACATGTATTAGGAAAGTGTATATTATCAGTTTTGCAATTTAATTGAACTTGTTTGGCCTCTTCAGGATAAAATTATGTCAGCTTATGCATACAGGAATGTATTTTATCTCCAAGATTTTGTGCAACTCTTCCCAAGTGATTTCCACTAGTCAATGAAAAATGAATTCTTGGATTTTTTCCCCCTCCTTGGTTTCCGCATGTATTCTGACTTTTTGTTTTTGATATGTCAATTTTCATTAGTGTGGTGCACGTGGTTCAACAATGACAAATGTTGCATTCGTTTCCAGGTGATTTTTTTTTTTTAAATTCAAAGCCCGCGTTGTTGAACTTGCTTGGATTTATTTGGAACCTTATTTTGTACATTGGCGCTGTAAATTTATTTGTGTGCAGAAATCTCAGCCCATGTGATCAATTTATGCCCACATTTCTATGTGTATTGAAAATGTTTAGCTTAGTTATGTTCAATGTATTAATTATTGTAATTCATATTTCATACGCAAGTTTCTTTATAGTTGTCGAGTTTTGCTGTAGGACTTGTTCCTCTTCAGAGCTCTTAACATTTCATTAATTAAATTTTGCAAATATTTAATTTGTCCTTTTTATTGGTCATGTGGCTGCTCTAGCTTATTATTTTGCTAATTCAGTCTTTACTAATATTTTCCTATAAATATAAAAGTTTTTTCAGGCATAAAGAGTGATTTATTTCTTCGTTCAATTCTTTTACCATTATTTTTTTTTCCTAAAAAAAAAAAAAAGACGTTGGAAGCACAGTTATACGCTGCAAGGTTTTATATACGTACGTGTGTAACTAAGGAGGAATATTCAATGGGCCAGGAAGTTTTTACTTTATAGGATATAATTGAAGAGTTAACATTTGTCTTGCATGTAAGATTTATTTTACAAGTTTATCAGTTTTTTTCCTCAAATTATTGATATTTTTCTAACAATAATCAACCGAGAGGATGGTAGAAAATTAAGAAAAATACTTTAAGTATTTTGTAAAAGATATATTCTTCCGATTCAAAATATAAGATCCTTATATATAAGAGTCTTATATTTAGGATTGAAGAAGTATTATATTAACTAATTTAACTATTATGTCTTATATTAAGAATATGAGGAGTAGTTTATAATATATCTTTTAAATATTTGATACAAATGGGGATTTCCGTGGCACGGGAAAAAAGGGAGAAAGCGAGGTGTTGAAAAGTGATTTGAAAATGAAAAATGAACCCTACGATGAATAGAAACAAAGATGGACATCATAAATTAACAAAGGTCTTTAGCAAAAAAAAAAAAAAAAACACCATCCAAACATCAAGTTTGGACCGTCCATTTTAAGTATTGCTTCGCTTCAAGTAATAAGGATATGAGATATGCCAAGAAAACGTTACTTCTTATTAAAACTAGTGTTGATTAAAATTGGCTAAATTATAAAACCCCCACACTTCATGTCATAGGTAAATAAATTTTATAACCTTTGAAACTTTACAGCATGATTCTCTGAATTTTTCCATACATGTAGATAACTTCAAATCATCAATTTCACAAACCCTTAAATTTTATTTTTGTATACCCCTCAAATTTTAAGTTATATGCAAATAAATCCTTTAAAATTGAAGACATTTATAGATAAATAATGAATGATATTAATAATTTGAGATTTATTTTAGTGAAACATTAGAATATCCCCCACTCGAGCAGTAGGAGACTAATCTCTCGGGACTTGCAGAGACCCAATTATGGGAGCTACTATTGCAAGCACGCCAGCTCTATTTCCATCCTCTAACCCGAGAGAGTGGTTAAGAGACACAGCTCCCCATCCATCTGTGCCAACCTGTGTCGGTATAATTTGAGATTTATTGTAAGAAAAGTTTCACATTTTTTTACCCTCTTTTCATTTTAGCTAAATTTAAGTTGAAGATTCATTTGCAGAATCTAGGGCTCTGAATTCAAAGATGGAAAGGGTAATTCACAAAAATACAAAAAGAAGGATTTATGGTGAGTGTGGCCTGGTCTTCTCCCACAAATGAGGTGCGGTAATGAGGCCGAAATTCTATTCTCTCTTTGTCTTATTGCTTTCCTCAACTTGTTCCATGGAAAGAGAATTCGCAAAAGTACAAAACATTTTTTTTGGGGCTATGTATAGGTATCTTTTTAGTAGATTATCGGAATGTGGACATCTTTTCCCGTAAAAGTTTGAATTTTAATTCTTCACGTTGTGAGGCCCTTCAACTCAAAAGAAAGATTTATTGTAATAGAAAGTAAAAATATCATTTATGCAAACGGGATAATTAAATTTGCAGAGTAGATAACTCATTTTTTTGAAAAATTAGTTTGAGATTGAAATTCTAAATGTATTTAAGTGATGAAAGTGAAAAATATTTCAAAATTGCTTTTGAAAATAATTTTAATGTTGTGATGATACTTGACCATAATACCAATAAAAAAAAAATGTCTATCTTTCAACTGAATAGTTTCGTAGATGTGTTTTGGTTTCGTCGATTATACTACACAACTCATAATCCATAAGAGTTTAAATTTGAATCTTGTCGTAATATAAATCTGATTGAGGATGTGAAGAAGATTTTCAGGACTATTTCTGGAACTTCACTTCTTATTCCCACAACCGGTAACTTTTACACATGGACAGGCCAAATTTTACGGTTGACCTAAAACCGTGATCATTAGCCTTTCACACCCAGTTTACTGAAAAGATTGTATGACTCTCTTGGAGCTTTGATATGAGAAATGCTTGTCTATGAACAAAATATAGCTATTGTACGAGAATACTATGTTTATCCAATGTGTCCTATAACATATCTCTTCTTGAATGGCTTGGTCTTCTTTTGATGTAGGTACTGGTGCATGGGAGAGTGCACTGACAAACACATTGTCTCCGGGAGATCGGATTGTATCTTTTCTAATTGGCCAGTGCAGTTTGCTTTGGATTGATTAGCACACACCATAAAGGCAATTTGCATTGTTCACAATGAGACAGCAACTGGAGTCATTAATAACCTGGCCGAAGTGAGGAACCTCCTTCGTGAGCATTCCATCTAATTCCCTTCTCTCTTCTTCAATGATAGAGGTCAGAATTATAATGAGGCATTGTTTAAAAACTTAAATTTTTGAGTTGAAATGATCTGCCACAAGAATTAAGTTATTTTTATTCTAGAAACTGTAATAGAGCTTGACAGAAGTTTCACTATCGCTTGTTGAGTTTGTGTTATTTTAATTTCTTTTCCTGGTTTATAAGTTTACCAATCCTTGCATTTTCTCTGTTTTGCATACTTTCAGCTTTTCTATACTCATTTATGTTCTTTTTCGTTTCTTTTATTGGTTTACTTTCAATTATATTCCCTGTTTCTTCGATAAAGAAACAGCTTAGTCGTACTACTTGCATCATTGAACAATTTCATCCTTCTGATTTCACAGAAAGTGCAAAAGTCATCCAAATAATACTAATCAGCTTAATTTTTTTAAAACTTCCCCAAGCCCGTTCTTTCCGTGGATTATCCATAAGATAAATCTCACATGGAGCATTGAACTATCAGCTGAATATCAGCATCCAGCCCTCCTGTTTGCTGATGGAATATCTTCCATTTGTGCCCTCGATTTTCGTATGGATGAATGGGGAGTAGATGTTCCCCTGACTGGCTCTCAGAATGCTCTTTCCCTCCCTACTCGTTTAGGCATAGTATGCGCAAGCCCAAAAGCCTTAGAGGCCTCAAAAACTGCAAAATCACTCACAGTTTTCTTTGACTGGAGTGACTACTTGAAGTCCTACAAGTTGGGAACCTACTGGCCTTACACTCCTTCCATCCATTTGTTGTATGGTCTCAGAGCAGCTCTTGATCTCATTTTCTAGGAAGGACTTGAAAATATGATTGCCAGACACCATCGCTCGGGAGAAGCAACCAGGTAAGCACATGATATGCTTATTAATGTTATTATAGCCTTTTAAAAAGTTCATATTTGACATGTCTGAATTTAGTACGGTCTATATAACTGGTCTCCCATGCATCAATTATGGTCCATTTGTTTAAACATTTTAATTAGCTACAGTAGGAGTTGCTGGAAGAAAAACCATTTTAAACTGATTTTGATAAGTGGTTTCCTTTTTTTTTTTTTTTAAAATTAAAGGGACAGGCACTAACAGTCTGAAGTTACAAGTGGGATTGAACCTGCAACCTCCCACTTATAAGAGGAGTTTATATGCCACTAGACTACAAGGCCATTGACTTTGATAAGTGATTTCCAATTAGCTTTTTGTTTACCATAAACAAATGGGCCCTCAGTTATAGTAAGGATCATTTTGAAGAATTATGGATGATTCTGAATGTGGTAGAAATAATACAGGCTTGCAGTGGAGGCATGGCGTTTGAAGAACTGCGCACGGAAGGAGGAGTGGTAGAGTGATTCAGTGACTACGGTTCTTGTTCCTCCTTACATTGATAGTGCTGAAATAGTGAGAGTGGCATGGAAGAGATACAACTCTAGCTTAGGCCTTGGACTTAACAAAGTTGCTGGCAAGGTTTTCAGAATAGGTCATCTTGGCAACTTAGATGAGGTATTCTTAATTTCCCCATCTCCCATCAATCCATGCATTTCATCCTTGTCTGTTTGTATTAATTATATGTATATGTGTGTATGTAAATGTAGACATGTACATACTAAGTGTTTGGAGATTAAGTGTACAGAGACCTAGTTGGTTTGACGAATCTGGTTGGCAAGGCATTAGGAGGCCAAGACAATGTCTAGCCCAACCTAATCATTTCTCACGAAAATAAACTTATGAAATACTTTTACCCAACAATAACAAAAATATAATATAATATAATATAATATAAAAATTGTAATATTATACTATTCATGAGTTATGAACAGTATGTCTTTTCTTGTCATCCTTTACTCTGAAAAAGGAACTCATACACCCATCATATTTATAAAGGGTTGAATACACAACCTTGTATTTAAATAAGACTTAAAGAGGTGTTTAGTGTCAGTTAGACCAAACGGCCCCAACAATATGAGTTATTTCTCAGATTTCATATGATTCACATGATTCACACTAGTTACGTCAATAGATTTGTCTTGTTTTTTGTGCATATTCTCACACACACTCTCTCTCTCCCCCTATATTATGGCTGACCAAATACATACAATAGTACTATATCATTGACTTGTTGATTCTTGCTTATTATGGTTAAATAATTTGCATAACAAACTTTAATCTATGCATTGAAATTTGTTTTCACAGTTGGAACTATTGGGATGTCTTGCTGGAGTGGAGATGGTAATGAGAGATGTGGGATACCCTGTGAAGCTTGGAAGTGGGGTTGGTGCTGCTTGTGCTTACTTGCAGAACAACACTCCTCTCATCCCTTCCAGAATGTGATTTCATTCTCACATTCCTTCAAATTCCTTTCTCTTTTCTGGATTCCATCTGAATTAGACAAACATGCTTACGTGTACAGTCTCTGCTTTTAATTTATTAATTAATAATTAATTTATTGCTTGTTATAATTGGAACCCTATAAAACCCCCCCAGGGGGCTTGCTTCAGTTTATGAATACAGAGTCCATATCACCTGAATTTGAAAGTGAAGTGTATGGCTTATGTTTTTTTATAAGAAAATCTCCTAAATTTGAATTAAATTATTTAAATTTTATTGTTTTAATTTTAAATTCACTTCTTCATCTATTTTGAACTTGACATGTATAAAATTGCTTGTATTTTTTTCTCCACTAAAATGATACTCCTCCGGTCCTTATTATAAGACCCAATTTGACTTTTTATTTAGTTCTAATTATAAGACCCAATCCATTTTGTCTCTTATATTTATGCATTTTTTTCCAAGATAATCCTTTTAATAATGATAGTTTTAGCCAATATACTTAATTAGCAATGATATTTTAGGAATGACAACACTTATTTATTATAAATAACCAACTTAACTTACTTCCTTAATCTCCTCAAATAAGTCAATTGGGTTTTATAATTAGGACCGGAGGAGTAATAAAAAATATTTTAAGCAAATTTCTCCCAATTAATAAATATGGGTTGTTTGTAGTTGTAATAGCTGATTCACGACTTGGATTTATTTATACAACATCATTTTCAGAACAATTAAGTGATTACGATGGCATTAAAAAAAAAAAAAACTCGAGTAATAGTTGATTCCCGACTTGGACGATTCCCTACCGACGTTGGGCCTGATGGGACCGATGAGGCCCACTAACGGTGATAATTCACGTAAGGCAAGTCCACATCAAACCACTCACGCCAGACACGTGACAAATGTTTCATTCTGAGTGATCCTAGATGCTTCCACTCTGTTTTTCCCTTGGCATGTTCCGATCCAACCACGCTCCAGTCTTACACGTGTGAATGAACGTCCTTTTTTTTCTTTTTTCTTTTTTTAAAATGCAGATGCCACAGTAATACTTGCTGGTCGTAGGCTGTTACTTTTTTTTTTTTTTAAAAATAAAAATTAAATTTGATTTTGTAATTATAAATTATAAAATATTTTAATACACTGATGACTTGTTATGCCTTGAATTTTGTTTTTTCCAGTTGTTTAAGAATAGAAAATAATCCGTGACAAGTTCCACTACCCAATTTTCTTCTTTAATCTCCTAGTTTTTTTTTTTGGCAGTAGTTAGTTGAGATGGTCGACTTATGAGGTCATAAACGTATATTCGTTAATTTTTTTTCCATGTATATTTGTTTTTTCAATCTATTTTGTTTTTTATATTTACTGTTATTTTTAAAATAGTCTTTGCAATAATTAATAATAGTAGTTCTAGTTAATATACTTGATTAGTAAAGATATTTTAGAAAAGACAACACTTATTTATTATAAATATCTAACTTAATTAATTTTTATAATTTATTTAAATTAGTCAACTAGTTTTTATATTAATAACCGGAGATAATATATTGTAGAAATGAACACTGATAAACCATGAAAAATATAACAGTTCAATATTCAAAAATTTCATCTTTGGCCAAAAAAAAAGGAATCTTCTCTTTTGGTGAAAAGGGGTAAAATGTTTGGTTATATAGTTTTGTGCAATTCACATTTCTCGCGCATTGAAGGTAAACAGATCATCAGGTCAAAAAAAAAAAAAGGGGGGGTGGTAAACAGATCACGTTGCATTGTTTGCGGGCTACGCAGACTTTCAGATGTTTGACCCGAAGTTATGTTCATTCTCGATGGCAATATAATTTGGTTGGTGAGAAAAAATTATAGAAGCAAGTGGAGCCCATACGGGTTTGATCACACAGGCATTTGGTGTATCACAGCTTCAGCATATTCACCGTATCTTTTTTACAACTTTTCACTGCTAAGGAAAGAAGACTGACCGGAATCGCTAATCGAGCGAAGATGATCTGAAAAGCTCAAGTTCTTTTTGGAGCTAATCGTCAATCGATGAGGAGGAAGAGAAGAAGAAGAAGAAAATACCAAATCCAGAAACAAATTGACGGCTTCACGACATGGGGATGTCAAAGGAGAATCTGAAAGGTGTCATTTTAGCGCTGGCGTCAAGTGGGTTCATTGGGGCAAGCTTTATCATTAAGAAGAAAGGTCTCAGAAGAGCAGCTGCAGCTACTGGTGTCAGAGCAGGTGAATATGCATTTTTTCCCGTTATTTTTTCCCTTTCTTTTTAACTGGGTGATAAGTGCTTATTTTGGTTATCCGTGGTTTCATTTCTTATCTTATAGGTGTTGGAGGGTATTATTATCTGTTGGAGCCTCTCTGGTGGTTAGGAATGGTCACAAGTAAGCACCTAATGATGTTTCTGAATTTCTATTCTTTTCTAACCTAGTTATTTGAGCTGAACTTTCTTCTTGTTTCTTTATTGGTTTTAATTTGACCCAATAATTATGTGATGTTAATTAGATTTTCTTGATTTTGATGCTTGTTAAAGTTGAACCAATTTCAATTTACGTTGTTTACTAGAGCCTGGATTTAGTACTCCCTCTCATTTTCCAATGCTTGTCCAGGTCATTGCATTGCTTATTCTCTTTGGTTATGCTTGGAAATGAGTAACCAAGCTATTTTTCTAGTATTTCATCTTTACTGCTGTTAATGACTTACTATAATAGGTAATTATCATGGCCATGGGCTTTTAATCTTTTGTTGACTTCTAGCAGAATCTATGTTATTGTATGGTTTGTGATTTAGTGATTGTTGGAGAGGTTGCAAACTTTGTTGCGTACGCATTTGCCCCAGCAGTTCTAGTTACACCGCTTGGTGCACTGAGTATCATTGTGAGGTAGCTGCCTTACTTTTTTTAACCCTTAATTAAGATTTGAAAGTGTTTTGTATTACATTGTAAATTAACATTGTTACTTCTCCATTGACGTGTGAATATGAAATATGAATGCTATCCTCTAGTGCGGTTTTGGCTCACTTCATTTTGAAAGAGAGGCTGCACCCACTTGGAATGTTGGGCTGTGTAATGTGCATCGCTGGTTCTGTCGTCATTGTCCTTCACGCACCTGAGGAGCGTACTATCACATCTGTTCAGGAAATATGGAATTTGGCTACCCAACCAGGTTATAATGCAGTGCCGTTTATATTCAAAGCTGATTATTTTATAGTTCTTGATTAACATTGGTATTTCTTTCATTGCAGCATTTCTGGTATATGTGTGCTCTGTAGCAGTATTGGTCTTCATTTTGGTTTTCCATTTTGCACCACGGTGTGGCCATACCAATGTGCTAATTTTTACTGGCATTTGTTCGTTGATGGGTTCTCTCTCTGTAAGTAACTGAAAATATCTCCTCAGTTTTCTGGCTTGATCTCATTTTCAAGGTGATCTGATTATCTTGGCACCTGTGTTCTGATAAAGCATTACATAAAAAGATTCCTAACCTGTATGCAAATTAATTTTTGTTACTACAAGGGCTCAAATTTGTCACGTCTCTTTACTCCTTGACTCTCTCATCTCTCCATTTTTGTGGGAAAAGTGGGATGTATATGTGAAGAATCTTTCTCTGGTCCAATGACTGCTGAATATTCGTTAGAGTTCTCTGTCTGGAGTTTTTTATACATCTCAATGTGCACTCAATCTGGAAGGATGAGTTGCATGTTCGAATCTTTCTTTACCACCCCTGGTTTCTGTGACTGATCCATATGAAATTGTTACAAATTTTCAGGTGATGAGCGTTAAAGCCCTTGGAACTTCATTGAAGTTGACATTTGAAGGGGTGAATCAATTAATCTACCCTGAAACATGGTTCTTTATGCTAGTTGTGGTTACATGCGTCATTACTCAAATGAATTACCTCAATAAGGTTAGTTACTCTCTGTGCCTTGAAATAAGTCCAGTCGCCTTAGCCTCCTTTTGGAACTTCTCTGAACCAATGAAACTGCTCTTTTGCCTTGTATATAATATATACCTATTTTCTTAACTGTTAATGACCTTTTTGTGGTAGTCCTGACATTAGAGGAATCCTTAAGATGGAATCTCTTACTGTTGTAATTGTAAAGAACCAAAAAAGAGGTAATATCAATATTGCACTTTTGGAAACTTCCCATAACAATGAACAAATATGTGTAAATTATAATTTCCACTCTTATAGAGATAAAGGAAGCAGGATCTGCAAAAGGAGACAAATTTGACGATGCATGATTTTCCTGATCTTTCCTTACAAAGTGCTTTGTTTTTAGAGCGTGATAAATATTGAATCAGTTCTCTTGCATGAGTGCACATGAAGTATCTAGTTCAGTCTGAAAGCTTTTGATAGTCTTGATAATTGATATAATTCACATCATTGATATTGTGGTGAGGGGTTGTCTGGATAACTGATAGGAATGGGTGTATTTACAGTAGTGAAAGCTTACCATTAAGTGGTTCAAATTTAATGTTTTTTTTTCCTTTTTTTTTTTTTGGTTTTTGTTTTCGTTTTGTTGTTTGGGAGTACTCCCCAGGGGGAGGGATGGGTGGATTAAATTTGCAAGAATTTGTGGACACCCCTCCTGTACTGAAAATGTGGGCTGAAGAATTATGGTGTGAAGTCTGAGAAAAAGGTCATTATTGCAGCTGATTTTGTTTCCTTCTCTTTTGTACCCAGTCATAATGCCGAGGTTAATTAGGAACGAAAGAAAATAGGGATATTGAGATGCAAAGACGCTGCACTGCGGCACTGCTATGTGAACCATTGGCAGACTTTTCCAGTTAATGGGTGCCAAAGTGAGGTCATGGTAGAACTTAAGTCACAACTCAAGGCACAAGAAGACTGAATATAGAAGGCACACAATATTGACAAGAAGAACGGACTTAAAAGCTTCAATGTCCACTAGATCTGTTATTGGGGGAGGTTATGAAGTTAGTAAACTCCTAGGAGGGGGAGTCTATGATTAGGGAAATATGATTAGTGTAGTGGGTGTGCTGTGGATGTGGTATACTTCTAAGAACATAAATACAGTTCATCATGTATTAAATGGTATCACATCTGGGTCTCTAGCCAACCGGTGTTGCCAGAAATTTGATCCCGAGGGCAGTGCTGGAAACTTGATCACTTGAATGCCCTGGAGATCTTGAGCATAGGATGGAGCTCCATGAGGCAATATAGTGTCACCCGATAGTCATGTGATCGAATCTGGCACTCCTCAGTTGAACCAAGTCCATGATTAATTCTGTTATAAGTTCTAGCATATACATATATGTACGATAGGCAAATTTTTGTTGATAAATATTCTTTCACTGGTAATAATAGCCAACCCAAATATTTATTCTGTGGTTTTTGTTATATCTTGCTGCAAATGATGTTTTTGCATTTGTTTGTTAAATTTGCTTTATTTATACTTGTATAGTTCACTATCTTTGAAGTCTTACATTTGAAGTAATATTCCTCGTTTAACAAGGAATGTTCTAATTTTTCAGGCTCTTGACACCTTCAACACTGCAATTGTGTCTCCTATATATTATGTAATGTTCACTACGCTTACAATCTTAGCCAGTGTAATAATGTTTAAGGTATTACCACCTCGTTATGCTGAGGATGTTGAAGTATACATGATATATAAATCTTAATCATTCGCTCAATATCAAACCACCTTGTGTTCACAGGATTGGGAGGGCCAAAGTGTTGCAGATATTGCATCAGACATATGTGGATTTATTGTTGTTCTTGCTGGCACCATTTTATTGCAGGTGTCCAAGGACTATGAGAGAAGCCCTTCTTTTGGAGGTCTGAAAATCTGATCCTACCACTCAACTCTATTGCCAATATCGTCATGCTACTCTGTTGGACCTTGATTGATATACTGCATTTCACTCTGCATGTGTTGAAAATTTGCAGGTAGCAATTCTGCACTTTTATCACCTTCATTATCTGCCCAACTTTTTTCTGGCAATGGGGAATTATTTAAGCTAGCTGATGAAAATGTGGCCCCTTCTGAGGTTATGAGCTTAAGAAGGCAAGAATCAGATTAGATGAGGATTTTGTCATCTGGTGTAATAGAGTTTTTTTCGTTCATTCAGTCATGGTGGAAGAAGGCAAAGTCTGAACTCTAGAGAATCCGACGGAAAGGCCTATTAGATGGTAATGATATCCCCTGGCAATTCAGGTATTACTGAAATCAAAGTTTGATGGATAAATTCCTGAACACATTCTGTTTATAATCAATGAGCATCTCAGGAATTAAGGGTCATGGATTTCCTAGTTTGGAAGATGGTTCAAGAACTGATATGTTGCAGTCAGTTGCTTATTTGTACAGTGTGTCCATAGTTGCTGGGTTCTGATGAGAAGGTCTGCCTCCCTTGAGAAAAAGGAAAATATTTATTGGATTTGTTTAAAGACTAGCTGGATTATGAGAGGACTTGTTTTGAAGAAGTAAAAAAGTGGTTAGGGCTAGAGTTGCCACGGATTTGTTTGTAAAGTGTTGAGGTGTGCAGGGTCAGGGAATTAAACAGTTTCTGTTCATTTTAATTGTTTTCTCCCCTTGTGAAAAAGAAACATTCTTTCTCGTACAGAAATTTTTATTGGTGAAAATGATCCCATTCCTACAGTCTCTAAAATAAGGTCATTTGTTTAAACCATTAATTGGTTTTACCCCCTTAAATATCCTTTTCTTCGATATTTCATAAACAAACAAATTTTTAAATAACTAAACAGCATCTAATCATGAACATTGTAGATGATAAATTTAAAATTTTAAAAGGTTTAATACAAACTTCTCCTAAATTTGTCTTTATTTTGGTTTTGGTTCTTTCAAGTTTTAAACTATAGGTTTTGGCCCTTCAAGAAGCAAAATTATTCAAGTTTTTATTGGATTATAGGGATAAATGTTATAAATAAAAAGAAACTTGAGGCACTAAAATTTATGATTTGAAATTTAAAGGATTAAAACTAAAATCAAGGCAAACTTGAAGATCAAATATTTTATTAACTCATTTTAAAATTTTAAAATCTTTAATTAATTTAAACTAAATTTCTTAATTCGTAAACCGTATTTCTTAATTGAGGGTGATGCACGTTACAAGGAAACGTAACTGGGTGATCAAGTTTTTAAATATTTTTTTCAACTTGGTCACTAGTTTTTTTTTTTTTTTTGACCTTGAACTTGGTCGTTATTTAATGCGTATGGAATGCACCTTAAGCATGAGACAGTAATTTCAATATATTCTCTCCATGTAAAATTACAAAGTACTTTTAACTGATAAACACCCCAATTAAATGGTTTAATGGCCTTTAAAATTGCATATTCTTTTTATGTTTGCCTTTATTTAATAGGATGTCTCAATTAAAAAAACCGCTATTAATTAAATCCCCAATTAGGAGAATTTTGAAGAATCCATATTCATCACACCGTGGAAGACAAAAAATGCCTTATATTAATGCTTTATAATTTTGAATGAAGGAGTATTTATTAGGATATTTTAGATAAAAATATATCAGTCATTTTATGACTTAATAACTACTTATATATAAAAATTAAAATGTAAGACTTTTAAACATAAGTCTCATATTTAAAACAGTGATACAATAAATAAAAAAACAGTGATACAATAGGAAAAATACATAAAAACTTGGAAAAATAGCAAAAAAAAAACTGTCGAAATAAAAAATTACACATAGGGACCAGTTTACAAAAATTGTTATTAAAATCCATACTATTATTATCAAAACTCATATTAATATTATTATGAGTATTTATTTATAATTTTTCTATTTTGATGGTTTTTTTTGTTATTTTTTCTAAAAACTTTGTCCATAATAATAATAATAATAATTGCACCAATGAGGCTTCCTCGAAAATACCAAGGAGGAGACTTTCTTTCTTTGTTTTTGGGAAAGGCGCCTAACCTGGCAATTTCCTCGTTCCTTCCTCCTCCCCTCAAATTTCGTGTCTTGTAATTCTGATTTCTGAGAATGATCTTCAGAGTGAAAATGGAATAAACACTGTTTCTCCGGGGTAAGAAAATAATTATAAAAATTTAGAAGTTACCCCGCTCACAAGATATTTTAAAATATTAAAAATTTAAGGACTTCAGGACTATGAAATCTTAATTTAGCTTCGATATTTATCTTGGATGCTAAGTCTCGTCCCTCCTTGACCGGTAGTTTCATCCTTCTACTTTCACGAGTTCAGTTCCTTCTTCGTTTTATGGCTAAGCTGGAAGCCAAGCTTGGGATGATGATCGACTCAATCGGTAACTTCTTTTCCGGTAAAGATCAGCTTCCTTGGTGTGATCCTGACATCGTCGCTGTAAGCTCATCCTTCTCTTCACCGCCTCTACCCACCAATTGATTAAATTATTGTTCTTTTTAATTTGAATGGGAATTCGATCAGGCGTTTGGGTTTCTATGCTATTTCTGCTGTGTTACTATCTAGATATTCTCTGTTCGTGTGCTTTGCTTGTTCTGATTTTAAAGTCTTGTTAGTGAAGTTCTCAAGCTATTGGTCGTTTTCTGGAGATGCAGGAATGGGTATTTTCTTAATTTATTAGTTTTTTTTTTTTTTATATTTCCCTCCATCTGATGTAAAGGGTATTTTTCTTTCATTCTTTTTTTTTTTTTATGCTTTTTCCCCCCCTACTGGTATTTAATTGAATAAGGGTGGTACTTGTTGTATTCAAAAGTGTTACTATGAGGAATAAAGGATTGACGTTAATTTTTTGCTATTTTCAGCTCAAAAGATAATTTGAATGGGAAATTTTGGCTTTTCATATAACAGCTAATGAGGTGGGATAAATAGGGATGTCGTCATTTTTTATTTTTTTCTTATGACGTAACCTAGAATGACTGATGAACTTCAAAATAAAGCGCTGAAGATAATTTCACCTTGAGAGAACGTTCTCTATAGCTAATTCCTAATTTATCGAACTTAGATCTTGGATGTCTTTATTTTCTAGCTCATCTTTGTAAGTCGAATTTTCAAATTTGGAGAGGATAAATTTTGTTTCTTTAGAGTTTCCACTAGTGTATATTGGGAGAACATTAAGGTATCTACCTCTTGTGGGAAATCTGGTTTGAGTTTTTACTGTCCCTGTATATGTCATATTTTTAATCTTTCTGGTAGTGCTTATTGTTATTTGTGTTCTCCATTTCTACATCTCCTACTATACTTTTGTTGATTTCCAGATCATAATAAAGGAAACATAATGCTACATGAGTTACTTGTAACAGTCAAATTTTGTTGAATATGCTGTGTCAGCCTGTGCCCGCTGAAGAGAATATCAATTTATCTTACCACCATACTTTTCTTTTGCTTTCCTTTTCTCACATTGAATTTCATTTGAAGCGTGTTATTCTCAAATTTCCTTTTCGACTATACGTTATCCAGCATGTATTTGTTGATGGCACTACGTATTTTTCTACCGGCTTTTTTCTTATCGGTTACCTCGTATGCTTTCTAAATGTATCTGCAGGCATGTGAAAGAGAGGTTGCTGATGCTGGCTCAGATGAATTTATGAAAGAATGTCTCTTGCGTTTATCATGGGCCCTTGTTCACTCGAGACGACCAGAAGATGTACAACGTGGGATAGCAATGCTTGAAGGTAGCTTACTTAAATCTATGACTTAATGTCCACTAGGCATTCACCCAGACAATTCATTCACTTGCTGACGTGCGTGCATGCACATACACCCACTTAAGAGTCATTGCCCTTTAGGTTTTTAACAAGGAAGTCTGCATAATTTGATTTCAAATGAATGAATATTCTTATTGAGCCATTCTGCTTTCATAGATTTATATATACTTGTGTTTATTCTCGCAACATAGGTTAACCATATGATATCATGTATATGGCAGCATCTTTACCTGGTACAACTGACCCACTGCTACAGAGGGAGAGGCTATATCTTTTGGCTGTTGGGTATTACAGAAGTGGTGATTATTCAAGGAGTAGGGATCTTGTGGATAGATGCCTATTGGTATGGCCTTCTGACTCCAGAGTTGCTAATTAATCTAGGAAAATGGCTGTTCTTTAAGCCCCTCTAAAATTTTTGTTTTCTTCTTGGCCGATTTGAACTCCGTTGTCTAGTTTGTAAATCCTTTAGAGATTTTTAATGTGTAAATGTATAACTGCCATCTTTATCTTGAATTATCTTGCTTAAAATACCTGCCTTCATCGATTGTGAAAGAATCTGATTTCTATCAATGCAAAATATTCATTTACCTAGGAATTCTCAACAACTGTTGCTTGTACTGTAATTGGTTGTTTCCATTTTTGATATGTCTGCTGAATTTAACTTTAAATTATCTGCCACAGAAGCTTTGTTTTGAACCCCTACTGTTTGGTTGGCACTAGTTCATTACTATTTTATATCATCTGTGACCAGAATAAATATACGCATTTCTGAATTTGTTCTCTTCTCAAATACTGAAGTTGGATACATAAATCTTGAAAGTTATGAGGGAAAGTCTGGCAGAATTTGTGTGTAATTTTGAGTGGTTTGATGGTATTATGTTATCTTTTACTTCCAAATTTGGCAGAAAAGTCTAGTAAATATTTCCTTCAACTTGAAGATGTTGTCTAGTGCTTTTTACCAGTTCCTTTTACTGAATTTTGACCATTGCTTTGACAACATCTTTGTTTTATAGATTGCTCCTGACTGGAGGCAGGCAGTGACGCTCAAGAAGATAATTGAAGACCGGATCACAAAAGGTTCTCCCACAATTACCAATGTTTCCTTAAACATTTCCTGCGTTTCTTATCAGTTTGGTGATGGTATCGTGATCTAGGGTGTCCTGAAGTTTTGTGGCAGACAATCCCCTTCCTAGGCAATAATATTTGTTATGCTCTACCTCATTCTCTTACATTTATGGTTTGGTGGCTCTAGAGCCATAGGGAAAAATTCTTACATAGATATATTGTGCAAGCTGGTTGTGCAAGGAGCCAACTATAATTCACTAATGTTAAGGCTCCTCATTCAGGGACTTTTCTTAGACACTTGTTATTCTGATCCTCTTTAGTTTTGGCTTCTTGCATCAAGACAACTCTGCCCTGCAAGAAGTACATGAAAATTTCTGGGAGTAAAAGTGAGGGTTTCTTGTTATTGATTTGATTTCAGCACTGATTTTGTCATTTTTTGCCTTTTCCCTCATATATTGTAGATGGTGTCATTGGCCTTGGCATCGCTGCAACTGCTGCAGGACTGGTAGCAGGTGGGATCGCAGCAGCAGTATCAAGAAAGAAGTGACAGTGTCCTTTTCATTCACTCAATGTTCAAGAAATGTAATATCAACCACCGCTTTCTGCTTCATACTCAATAAGAGGCGGAACAGCTGATATGTATGCTCTCGATGTGAGATTGATCCTTCTGTTGAGATATGTGTTTGGTGTATGTGTATAGATGTTTTCTTTTACATTTGGCAACGTATACTTTTAGTCCCTAATATTTGCTTTCAATTGTCATTTTACTCCCTTTCTTTTAATTCTGTCAATCTGGTCGGTGGTATTTGATTCATTCATATGCTTTCTTGCTATCTAATGAACGGGAGCAAATCACTGAATACCTGCATCCTTGTGTGGGTGTTGCAACGATTCACGGCCATGTCGGGAAATTT